CATCATCAATTTTAACTCCAATAGCCTCCAGTTCATAAGCAATCCTATTGAAAACACTCGTGTAGTCTAAGATTTTCTTTCCTTTGTCCATTTGCAAAAGAATGAAATCGTTCCTAAAGATACAATTGATTTGAAGACTTTTAGTGTGATATAACACTTCAGGTTTTTTCCAAAGCTCCTTTGCAGCAGAAATTTCATTAATATTTCTGAGGACATCCGCTACACATATATGAATAGTGCTATTAACTTTCCAATCCAAATCTTCTCAATCCTCGACGGTATTATTGGAATTTTTCACATTTTTGTCGGATTTAGGGATTGTTTTCCCTTTCAAAGCCATTTGCAACCTAGCCTGAATCAAAACATCATTGACTTGTACTTATCACAAGCCAAAATTGATTCTCTCATCAAATTTCTCCACGTCATATTTCAGGCTTCCCATTTTTTCTTTTCTCCAACACTCCAAACCACCAACACTCTATATTATTTGTTGGGGTTCAACCTTTTATTTGTTGGGAATTAAGACAAATTTCATTTATTTGCCACAAACTTTAATGCTTCTTCTCTTTGATGTTTTCAGGTCATTTTTGGTTTTCAATTTTCGATAACACTCAAAACACGTTTCCTTATCGATTTTCATAAACGAATTTTAAAAAACGAGTTAAGTATTTTTTTTAAAAAAAAGGGAAAACGTGAAAAAAGTCGGTTTGGCTGTTTTCAGTTAAAATCAAGCTAAAACTTCATTTTTTTTTTATTTTTGAAAATCATTTTTCAAAATGACAAAAAGAATGTGTTTTCAACAATATCAAAATGGGCACTTAAAACACAAAACTCAAAATGAATTCAAAATTCAAAACAAAAAATTGAAAATTGAAGAGAACAACCCTAGTATTGTTTAGAGAAAATAACATACGAGAAAAAATATAAAAATGCGACAAAAAATTTAGGGACAATTAAAGCTTTCGCTGTATAAAAGATTTGCACAATCTCACTCTAATTCTCAGGTATTCAAGGAAAATTCGCCAAGTTTTATCATACCCACCATTTTTTACCATTTAAATACCCCAACAAAAAAATCAAGGAAAATCATGATGCTAAGTTTAAATTTTTTCCTTACAAAAACTCTCTAGCCACTTCCATAAAAGTGAAAACTATCACAAATATATTTATATTAATATAAAAAATCATTGCCCAGTATGAAGACCCCAAATTTGGCTTAATCAAGGACTGCCAAATTAGTTCCTTATTAAATTGTAACACCTTCAATTGGATAAAGAACACAGC